GTTTCGCGCAGCACTAGTATATCTAGCACGTGTCTAACCTTGTTCTAGTCGGGTCTCACATACACCATGTGTGGAAGCTTTAGGCAGTGGTGCCCTGGCTATAAAACTATGAGTTGCTCTGATCTTTCCCGTAGAGCGTGTACCTTCTCCATTACGCGTGACTTTCCTCTCCATTCAAGTCATGGCTGCCACCACATCCTCCTCGCCCTTGGGCACCACGAAACACATCTTTTCTTCGAAGAAGCCGGACCTTGAGAGAGAAGCAAAGACTGCCAACGTCACTGTACACAGCCGTGACCCAGACCGGGTGCTTATGCCCGATGTCCAGGCCACGATGTGCCTCTACCACATGGAGGTGCAAGAGTCCCTTTGGCCCGTGATCTTCCCGGTCGTCCGACACTTGTTGGACAACCGGAAACTAGTGATGGAAGAACTATACGTGAAGCTTGGACTAGGTCCCCCGTTGGCAGTTCGGCACGTCCTCTTGGACGGGATTATCACGTACCTCAAGGCGTACATGAGGACGCACGACGATCGGCTGCCCGATACGCTGGCAGGCTTCCTCCCCGAGCCGGCCTCCGCGTCACCCGCAGCATCTTCTAAATCCAACCTTTATGCTTCCCCTCGGCCGGCAACATCGAACCCGGCGGGCAGTCCCATGTCCGTAGACACCACCACCCCCACCCCAACCGCTGCCGCGGCTGTCCCTATCCATAGCCCCCCAGCACATTCCCCTCCACGCGACCGACTCCCCATCAGCACGCCTCCGGCGCCCTTCACGAGCCAGTTGACGGAGGCGTCCCTTCATCAGCCTCGGACGGCAACCCACTTCGACTTCTCCGTCGGTCCTCAGGGAACGCCGAGGAACAGCCCGCAGTACTATCGTCAGCACAGCCCCCGCAGTTCTCGCCAACAACGAGCAAGCCCTCAACACCAGCCATTGTTTCAACAGCAACCGGGCCAGCACCACCGACAAGATACTCCGCGACAGCAAGCCGACTCGCAGTGGTTCGGCCCTCAGCCTCAGCACCAGCCACCTTTTCAGCAGCAACATGGAGAGCAACAGTACTCTCTTCCTAACCGGGATCCTCCATCGTGGAAGCCAAGCCCGCCCGAGCCCTCGAGCTATAGAGGGGACGTCATCCAGGTGAAGAACAAGGGAAAGGTGCTGGACGCCATCCGACTCCTCAGTGACCAGTTTTTCGACCCGGAGCCATGTTGTGATGGGCTGGCAGTAGGAAAGATTGCTCTTGCCTTGGCTCATATGCAGTCTCGTCTGGAACGCGCGAGAGAGGTGTATCAGGAGGAGCTGGATAAGGCATTCAAGGACTTTACACGAGTCGTACAAGAGCTCCCTTGTAAGAAGTGAGGTTCTTGTATAATTTTCGGTCAGTCAGGAGAGGATACGCGGGTCCACAGGCTTAGAGGGATAGACGTGTATGCGGCCCTTCATGTTTGCCTTGACCGCATATCGCAACAAAACTGTTATTCTGTAAAAAAAAAAAGGTGGACGAAGTTCACAATCAGCTCTACTAAGGGGTATAACCCATTTTAGACAGAGATTTTTCTTGGTAGAGTAGTGATCGAGTGAACGAAAGTGCCGTCATAGAACCACGATAGAAAGCTTGGCTATGTTGTAACGTGTTTGAACGTGCCAGGAGGTTGAGGGTCCCCTTCAAATAATTGAGATTGGGCCCCAATTCGATCCCAATTTGGGATCTAGTTGTAAGTGAGGTTGCCTTCCCACAAACTTGATGGGATTGGGACCTGGTTGTAAGTAAAACGGTAAATATGCTTAAGCAATTAAGGTAGAGGAAGCATCTTTCTGGTAAACAAAGCGCTCTTGGAAAGTATATAAGGTAGTATTCTTTCTTATAAAAGGCTTTCATGCAGGCTCTCATGCTCCTACCAGTCTCCAGACGTTTAACAAGGCAAGACCATAACCGCGTAAGGAGTCCGACATGTCGTCGTCAACCGTGAGTGTGCTTGGAAGGGAACTTGATCGCCTAGGACTAACGGGGAACAGATCCTGCCCAGCCGCCGTGTGGTGTACTTTGACCGCTATCATAATGACGATGATGAAATCGAGACTTATGCCAAGGAAAGGGGCATCGAACTGTTAGACTGTTGGTATGTAGTCCCGAACTTAGTAAGGATGGCTTTATGGGAATTCTCCCTCCCTCTGGACGACCCTATCGCGGATACGCTTAGAACAATGGCGCGATCACCAACGAGGATTTTGTGTACACTCAGACGCAAGGGACATGACACTTCCGGATATGCTGATAAGTCCCTTGCCGAGGTGGCAACGTTGTTTTTGCAGACAGAGCTGCAGCGGCGAGGGACGGTGCAGGAGAGGACCGACAGGGACGACGAGCCGGATGAAGAGGATGAACAGGGGTACGGACGCCAGGTTTTTGAGCAGGAGGAAGTGTTTGTTGGTCTGATCGACTCGGATTAAGGTATAGGGAAAGGTAGCATCTGGGTACATATGGTGGAAACGACGGGTACTTCCTACAGAATCGCCAGGCAGACGAGGTACTGTAGACGAAATAATGACTTGTGGTGGCTGGTCAGGTCTCTCTGGATACAAGTGGATAGAGCCGGGGTCTGGTAGACAGGGCTATCCGCAGGAAGCCGGGGTTTCACTCGGCACGCTGCGTTTGCATATGTTTTATAGCGGACGGTCACATGCCTTAGACATGCAGAATCAGGATAGTAGGTAACCGACATGTCGAAATATGTGATGCAAGCGGGTATACGCTGCCAGATTCCTGACACTTGCTTCAACCTATCTTGCAATTCAGCTTGTCACATTTGGGTAAATGATAAGGAGGTAACCAACTTGCTCAACAGTCTGTTTACAAGAGGGCCCTCCTACTTGATACTTGATAGATGGAAGGCGTGCCTACCTCCTCACACAGCAGTGCCATCGGCTCTCTATCGACACCGAATACTCCATATCCATCTGAACCATGTCCTCCCTCCCGCCGGTATGTATATGGATATCCCTGCCTCTATGGCTGGAGCTAATACAACAAAGCCGCGGCGTAGCCGAAAGGTCACGTACTTCTCCCCACGCCATGTCTCTGGCTTCTCCCTAGAGGAAGAGGCCATCGCGCGAGGCCTACCCGCCAGTGTTAGCCAGAAGGATCTGATTGTTAATCTTGCGCTCTGGGAGTTCTTCCTCCCACTGGACGATCCGCTCCGGCCCACCTTGCTACGACTGGTGGATATGACCATCTCTCAGATGATTGACTTCACTGGATTCACCCGCCGTTCCTCGGCCGATACCAGCACTCGTGCCGACGTGGCTACTTGGTTTATTGCTCGCGAGATCCAAGGGCGCAACGGACCTTGTGCTATCCCCAGCTGCTCGAACCGCTGTTTGGACTATATTATATTCTGCCAGCAACACGTGGCCGACCCGAACGAGGACCTTGCTGAGCAGAACCGCTCCCAGCACTGCACACGCGACTCCTGTCTCCAGCACCGCGGGCGTCTGTCTGTTTTCTGCCCAGAGCATGCACAAGAGTCGAATCAGCGAGTCCTATGTGCGCTCCAGGGCTGTGGTAGTCTTCGGACTCTCGACGCCGCGTTCTGCGCGTGCCACAGGGTGCAATACAATGCCCGGAGGAGGCGGGAGCGTCAGGAACAGGAAATCAGGGATAGCTGAGGAGATAGGGACAGAGTAGGGACAGCAGGGAGGATTGGTACAGATAGAAAGGCAGGCTGTAGTAACACACCAATACACTCGTCTTGACGATAGCCCATCCCTTGTAATTGTGCTGGTGGATAAGCGGTTCCGCTGCTATTCAGCTGCTGCTGGAAACTTGGAAAGCTTGGTTAGGCTACCCGCTCCCTATGCCTACGATTCGCTGCTGATCAGCTGCTGATTTCGCTGGCCCTCTACACTTTGATCAAAACAAAGATATCAGGCACCTGTATCAGTTCCTTTTGCCCAGGTGGATATAATGTAGGCAGGTGGTTCTTCTGGAAAATGCCTTTGTACGGTTGCTTTTATTCTGATGAGACACACTAGCGGTGCCTACATATGTCTTACTACCACAGATACGGCTATGACTTTGGACGTAGTATAGGTATAAGAGGATAATGCCTCTCGAGCATTCAGGTCCCAGAGCAACGCAATCATCGACGCAACCATCTTGTTGCCCAGACATCCAACATCCCAGAGCAACGCAATCCTGCCCACCATGTCTACTCGTACCCTTCCGACACCACCTGTATCTCCTACAGCCTACCTTTCCCGGATGCCGTGGCGCCGGTTCTGGCCCTGGGAACGGAGCCGGAAGGCTCGGAAGATCGAGCACATGGAGCTCAGGGCACTGTATGTGATCGAGGCCATACGTGCCATCAAGGTCGAACTTCGACAACACGCTGAAGTGTGCACATTGAACGCCCGGAATGCGGTCTTGGAGGTCGAGGCCCTCGAGCGTGCGGAGCAGTACTTGATCTGCGACGACAACATCACGGATACCGAGGCCGAAGTCATCTTGTACGACATCAAGCGCTTTCTCGCCGAGGGCGTGTTCCAGCTGGATGTAAGGAGCCACCTCAAGGAACTCCCTGTTCCAGCCCGTCACCCTTCTTGGCTCGATAAGTTCAGGGCTGCTCGCGATGATCGCGGTGTAAGTGATATAACCCCAGCAGGCAGCGGTGGCCTTTGCTAACAGAGGATAGCCTTTCCACCTGCGAAACCTTGTGTGATAGTTGGCTGAGGGTTGGGACGTTGATCCGCTCGGCTAAGGGGTTGGGGATGGAGTAGAAGTGTAGACGAATGATATTCTCTGTACCTGGACAAGTGACTGCTTACTTTGCCTGTGATATGTACTATAAGCCTGACCCAACCAAATTGGGCTCGTAGATTGGGCTCGTGGATTGGGCTCGTGGATTGGGCTCGTGGATTGGGCTCGTGGATGGAAGGGACTCACAGCAGAGGGGCGATACTTAGGCAATACTATTGTTGGGTATTTACATAAGCCCCAGTAGTGTAGTGGTAGAACCTCCAGCCTCTCAATCCTCCAAAACGCTAAGGAAATGGTATGGATTGATAGGCTGGAGTCCCGGGTTCGATTCCTGGCTGGGGTACATACGCTTTATTTTTTTGCTTTGGATTCTACCTTGGCGCCAATACTAGTAAAAAGAAAAGAATCTGCCCCCGCCCGTAATTGAACCCAAAGCCTCCGGCACCCTCTCCCCGCTTACCCTAACCCTTACCTTATCACGTGACAGGCCACGTGATCCCGGCTCCTAAGTCAGCTCCTGAATCAGCTCCTGAACCCATGTTTTGGCTCCTGAGACACCCCCCCTCAGCCAATGAAGTCGTCCGAGTGTTGTACTGGACTCAGCCACCATTGAAATACGTCAATCATTGCCTCCCGTATAGAACACACATGAACCCACAGTTCAGCGGGTGTTCCACTTGATACAGTCTCTGGCTTTCAACGGGCGTCTCAACCTTAGCTGGTAGACTAGGTCTCTTTTGATCTTGTACGCAAAATGCAGGTCGCTGTCGTGGACAATGTCCGCTGGCCATCGGCCAAACTGCCTGCTGTTTCACAAGTCAAACCAAACAGGCGGGTAAATCTGGGGCCAAACCCCACCTGGGCAGGTTCTGGATGCTTGCTGCGCAAGCCTGCCATCTTTCAAACGTCTTGTCTCCAATTCAAGGCTATGGAAAATAGAGCCGACCTTGCTCTGATGTAGTGAACTTTGATGCCATGCAACAGTGGTCACTGGTCGAGAATGACTTTACCTGCGAGTTTCTAGAGACTACTCAAGCTCCAAGACAGAGATGATGTCACTGCGATCGATGTGGTAGGCGGGCGCTTGCTGTTTCTGGGACGGCCGCCAGGGGTTCCTTGTCCCTTTTTGTAATGTCTTGGTAGCTGTTATTTGGCACAGCAACGGGTTAGTGCAAAGCAAGCATTCGACAATGCTACCACTGTAAAACTAATTCGACCATCATGCTGCCACGTTTACCCTCTTTGTGGAAGTTATGCTTGTGTGAAATTAGAAGACTGCATGTACGAAATAGGTTGCCAACACTTGTTTTTACCCTATAGGCGTCGTCCATGGACATCATGTGCACAACTCTACTCGTCTTAACTCGATGGCGTTCTCCTGAGTATCTTCTTACACGGGACGCTTCACCCGATATCGGGAAATGGCGAGGCTAACAAGTACGCTATGCTGGATTTATTCTTTGGGATCTAATAGAACTACCGAGGAGTGCATGAAGAGCATGTGTAGGTGTGAACCTCCACTGCAGTCCTGCCATGATTGTTCCAAGATCCTGTCATCAAGCCTGGCTATGGCGGAGATATGCTGCTGATATGGCCTCCAATACCTCGAGATCAGACCTAGACATGCATTCCATCTCCCAAGCCTACTGTGTATTCGTCAAAAAATAGCAAAGACACCCATCACTTGGCCTGCTGATCCCTCAGACAACCACGAGGTCTTATTCCTCCGCCTCGTCCTCGTCCACAATGCGGTATCGTCCGTGGCCGCATCCCCTCCCACATCTGCCGAGGATGGGTCCATCGGGGATGGCCATTGTACTCGGTTCTGATCTCTGCTTCCAGCGCTTCGTCATTCTATCTTGAAAGCACAGCACGGACGGTACCCTTGACAACCGGCTTGCCCTCGATAACCAGGTCCTCAATCTTGTTCTCGTCCGTATGACCCTCGTCCAACCATTTCGCCAGCAAGTCATTGCTTTCCTTTGGCTTGATCTTGTCTTCAGCCGTGCCAATGGTGATATGTGGGATCCTGTTGACGCACTCCCACTTTTCGACCTGGTCGGGTGTGCCGCCTTCGACATCCTCGAGTCTAACGACGATGGCCATGATACGGTTGTCAAAGACGACACGTTCCAAAAGCACGTTAAGTTCTCCTAGACGCCCATCAGAAGTGCTGGAGCCGTGGGCTTCCTGGGCTTGCAGGTAGCGGCTCCACAGATCCGGGTAGTCTTTGGAGCTGACGCGGTGCATGAGCGTGACGTGGAACTTCTGCTGAACACGTCGCGTTCCGTTGAGCTGACGCCAAAATTTAGCCTGGGCGGATCTAACCTCCGGGGCCGTGAAGGTGCGTTCTAAAGCAGACAGGATGGGCATGGTTGGGAGGTCAACGGACAAATACTCCACACCCTTGGGTTTCTCCTTCTTGGGCTGCTGGGCAGGGGCATTCCCACCGTTGTTGTTCTTGTTCTTCTGCTTCCGGTCAGGAATGGTGTGGCGCATATCAGGCTTGTAGTTGTCCAGCGCATACTGCATCGCCTCGTCCAGCTGTTCAGCGCTGGGCGCCTTGGGCACCACTTTGGGAAAGATGCGATGGAGGCGCTCGACTACGACCTCGAGGTTCTTCCTGCTTCCGGCAGAAGGATCCAAGTTGATAATCTCGTCGAAGCCGTCGTCAGGGGCTTTGTCCTCCTCGACGGGCTGGAAGCGGTGGATAAAGTTCTCCATGATGCCACGAACCTTGTTCATGTCACTTGCTGCTTGGATGGTCTGATGATTGTCACCACGGGCAAAGACACGCTCCTGGCAGGTCCTCCGCACCTCTTCTATATCGTTGTGAACAAAATGGAGAGCTACCAAGCGTGCAGAGATGCGTGATTGTTTGACGTCGGTGATGATCTGCTGCCGCTCACGCTTCTCGGAGTTGTTGCGGTCCGCAAACACAACCGGTGTCTTGTCCAGCTCATCCATGAGCATCTTGACGAAGCGTGGTGGTCTCTTCGGTCCGGAGATGTTATCGTTCTGAACGTGGCCCCAGCCGAAGAGATGGGTAAGAGCAACGGCGATAGTCGTCTTACCGCAACCAATGGTGGCGATGGGAACCAAGACAACATCGCCATCGACATCCCCGCTGCCACCGCCCTCCTCGAGTTCCATGTTTGCTGCATCAACACCCTTGATGTTTTTGTGTGCAAGGAAGTCATTGCGCAGGGAGATAATTCCGTGATTCTGGTTGTAAGCCTTGGCCAGACCTCTGTCGTTCTGAAGTCGCTGTCGAGCGTAAGCGAGGTACTGCTCCGTGATTTTCTGATGCTTCCGGATCCTTGGCTGGCGTCCAGCGATCATAGCCTTGGTGCACTCTCGCCATTGCCGGTACATCAAGTACGGCTCCTCAAACTTGTACTTGAAGAACCAGTCTTCGAAGGGTTCTGCGTTGGGCTGCCGGCTCATCTTGCATCGAACGACGAAGCCCTCCACGTCACGGCCCTCATATGCACCAGTCTCGGCCAGATTTTCGAGGAAAGCCTGCACCTCATTGACAGTGCCAAATGTCTTGAGACCAACCTTCTTGAAGCCCCATTCGTCTGCGAAGTCCTGGACGAGGGGGCTGGGGTAAGTTGCGAACTTCGGGAGATTGAGGTTCATGCCGTGCAGGTAAAGACCGGCCTCATCGCCTGTGTAAGCTAGAATGTGCTCTTCGAAGCTGTCGTCACACAATTCAGCAACAGCAGTAACGTTTCGAGCCCGCAACTCTCGTGCAAGTTCTTCCTTGGTCTTTCCCAACCGTCGCAGCTGTGCTTCGAGTCGTTGCTCGCCAGCAACGGCATGACTAGCCTCGCCCTCTCCACGTGATCCCGTCGAATGTTTGCTGGTTACCAGCAAGGTCCCATCCTCCAATCCACCAATGAAGATGATGCATCCGTTCTCCTTGAGCGTAAGCTCATAGGGACCTTTGGTCCTGGTCTGGATGTTCTTCCACTCAGTGTCACGCGTTTCTCCCACGTTGAAGAACTTGTCGTAACCACGGATGACGATCTCAGGGCCTTTGCTTGACTTTGTTGTGAACAAGCCACGGGCATAGGTTGGTAAATGGTCCTTCTTGTAATCCCATTCCTGGAATCTCCACGAATGGACTTTGATTCTGTTTGGAGAACTTTCCACAATAAACTCGGCCCGCTTGCAACTGTAACCGCCCTTCTTGCCCTTTCCGGCATGCGACTCCAAGGTCCGAACAAGCTCTGCAACCTGTTGTCTGTCCTGACTGACGAAGGGAGCCTTCATGTCAGGTGCAGCGGTCTGGCCCGCTTCGGTTGTGATGTCCTCCATCGTGGCCTTATGATGAAAATGTTTGTTTATGTTGAAGGACTTTCTCGACAGGGACCAAGAGCTGAAGCTAGAAACAGTTGGGGCACGAGTGTGTAGAGAGGGGATGTGTTTGAAAAAGACTTGCGAGGAAGTTGGATTGGTGTGAAGATGGTGACGATATTTGAACTTTGGGACGGTCCTTCCCCAAGTTGAAGGTCGAAGAGAAAGTGCACAGGAACGGCCTAGAGAAACGGTCCAATTGTGGGGCATGAGTCAAACTTGATGTATCCTGCCACCTTGAGATGGTTGAGGAAGGTATAAGTAAAACAGTTAGGTAGTGACAAGGTCGTGGTTCATGCTAGGTACTACGTTGGAAGGGTAGCAGGTAGCCCTTGGTTGTCTTCGTGCTTCTTCGCCGGTAGACTCATACCGACAAGGCGCTGGTCGACCCCTGACTTTCAAGTCCCTGCCTGTGCTCCAAGCGTGGTTGGCCGTGGCCACTTTATGTTTAGGGGAGCCTTCCGAGTCTCCCATAGCAGTCTAAAAGTATTATAGAACGGGAATGACTACCAAGTTGAGAAACATTTGCCGATACTGATCATTTCGAAATTCACAATTGACTTTACGAGGTGCTGGTACAAAACTACGTATCGCATAAGGTACAGTACGAATACTGAGGTGCCAGATCTCCAGCCCTACGGCACAGTTAACATCTAGTGCAGGCGGTAAGCCCTGTCATTATAGTGGGGTACAGAATGCGTCACGCCGAGCAGCTGAACCCTTGCCAAAAAGTTTAGCGGCCTCTCTGATTGCGATTGCCACAAGCGCAGAGCCGACTTCCATAGCAGGCACCAACTACCGTAAACCCAGTAAACAGCAACCACGACGATCCACCTAAGCTCAACACCATGGCTCCCAACCCTTATGTCCTCGCGTCGGACAACTCTCCGGCCCTCCTACCTCTTCTTCGCGAGAACCCGTCCCTCGCTTCCGGCCAAGATGATCACGGCTATTCCCTGATCCACGCTGCAGCCAGCTACA